CCTCCACACCCAACTTTTGACTTCAAAACCCCAAGTTTTGGGCAAAACCCCTCAAGTCTCATCTGAAGAACCCAACCACGCCCTGAGGAACCTCAAGGAGATCCAAAACTTCCATTTTTAAAGCTAAAACAACCGAACCAACTCCTGAATAACACAATTACGGACCTCCACACCCAACTTTTGACCCCAAAAACCCAGTTTCTACCCCAAAACCTCAATTCTCCACCCCAAAACCCCTCAAGTCTCATCTGAAGAACCCAACCACGCCCTGAGGAACCTCAAGGAGATCCAAAACTTCCATTTTAAATGACAAAACAGCCAAACCAACTCCTGAATAACACAATTACGGACCTCCACACCCAACTTTTGACCCCAAAACCCCAATTCTCCACCCCAAAACCCCAATTCTCCACCCCAAAACCCAAGTTTCCACCCCAAAACCCCCAAAAAACCCCCCCGTACCCAGCAGCGGCTGCCTCTCCCCCACCCGCAGCTGGTGGTGGAACTGCTTGCTGATCATCCTGCGGCGCGCGTCGAACTCGTGCGCCGCCATGTAGGGGATCTCCAGCAGCATGGCCGCCACCAGGTAGACGCACTCCAGCAGCTCCAGGTTGACGTGCATGTGGAAGGGCACCTGGCGGCGCTTCTCCACCTTCTCCTGCTCGGCGTTGCGCTCCTGCAGGCTGCGCAGGAGCAGCCCCTGGCCCAGCAGCTCCTTGGCCCGGCCCGAGGACTGGATGTCCAGCAGCGCGTTGTGCGCGTCCTTGATCAGCCCCTGCCGGAAGGCGCAGATGCCCAGCTGCACCATGGTGCGGTTGTAGAGGATCTGCGGGGACAGGTGAGGGGGTTACCTGGGCAGGTGTGTGAGGGTTACCTGGGCAGGTGTGCTCAGGTTACCTGGGCAGGTGAGCTCAGGTTACCTGGGCAGGTGTGTTCATGTCATCTGGGTACATGTGTTTGTGTTACCTGGGCAGGTGTGTGAGGGTTACCTGGGCAGGTGAGCTCAGGTTACCTGGGCAGGTGTGTT